TTATTATTATTATTATTATTATTATTATTTCCACGAAAAGATCTGTATTTACAAAGCAGGACATGTAAAGCTGGAAATTAGTATAGTTTACTTTATATATGGTATATATATACATGGTATATATATGGTATGGAGTATATTCGGTTAAAATACCTTACAAAATAATGAGGAAATTATAATGAGATAAAACACGTGTATGTGTGACTGTTGCATTTTAAGTGTGTTTGTGTACTCACGTACTGTTGGTTGGAGGGGACGAGTTGCAGCTCCTGTTTGTTTGTGTGTGTGTGTGTGTGTGTGTGTGTGTGTGTGTGTGTGTGTGTGTGTGTGTGTGTGTGTGTGTGTGTGTGTGAATGCCATGTTATTCATCTTCTAAAATTACCTCATTTACTGGCATTATATTCACTGTGAAGCAGTAAACCTTTAAGAGTCATTCAGCAACTTGGAAATAAGGGGCAATAAGGCTTAATGCATGTAGGGGAAGGACAGCTCCACTGCCTCGGATCATGAACCCTTCAGCACCTTCATGGCAACCCTCCAAGGCGTGAGGAAAAAAAACATGAATAAATTACGAAGGACAACACCAAAAGTCAGACGCACCTCCAAAATTTTGTGGTAAAAACAACGATACATTAATTGGACATGGCGAGTGTTGAATGATAAATGAAGGAAGAAGTAAAGCAGAGATAAAAACGTAAAGAGGAGAGGAAAACAGATAACAATAATCCTCTTATTTATAGGAAGAATATCTGCAGGCACAACACTTGCATTTATATATGAATTATTTTATATAAAGAGCATCGTCGCCAATTACACTTGTTGCCACCAGTTAATGACTTACTAATTACATTTGCTGCCACCAGTTAATGACTTACTAATTACATTTGCTGCCACCAGTTAATGACTTTCTAATTACATTTGCTGCAACCAGTTAATGACTTACTAATTACATTTGCTGCCACCAGTTAATGACTTACTAATTACATTTGCTGCCACCAATTAATGACTTACTAATTACATTTGCTGCCACCAATTAATGACTTACTCATTACATTTGCTGCCACCAATTAATGACTTACTAATTACATTTGCTGCCACCAGTTAATGACTTACTAATTACATTTGCTGCCACCAATTAATGACTTACTAATTACACCTGCTGCCACCATTTAATTAGTCACTAATTACACTTGTTGCCACTAATTAATGACTTAATAATCACACTTGCTGCCACCAATTAATGACTTACTAATTACACTTGCAACCACCGGTTAATGACTCACTAATTACACTTGCTGCCACCAATTAACTGCTCCATCCATCCAGCCTCTACATACGCCACTCCTTCCTTCTCATCTCTTCCTTAATCATCCACATTACCCGCTCATCATTATCCACATTACCCTATTAACCTTCATTATCAACTTTACCCTTCCCTCCTTTTCTCACTTCCATCTCTACCGTTCTATTTTCCTCTCCATCCTCTATTTTCCTGCCCTCCTTCTTTCTCCTATCCACCTCCCTATTCGATGCTCTCACCGCAGCATTCGCACAAGCGCAGCATTCCTTCAACCACAGCATTTACACAACCACAGCATTCACACAACCACAGCATTCACTCAACCTACATTTCCTCAACCACATCATTCCCTCAACCATAGCATTCCTTCAACCACAGCATTCACACAACCACAACATTCCCTCAACCACAGCATTCACTCACCCTAAGCATTCCCTCAGTCACAGCATTTACACAACCACAGCATTCACACAACCACAACATTCCCTCAACCACAGCATTCACTCAACCTCAGCATTCCCTCAACCACAGCATTCACACAACCACAGCATTCCCTCAACATCAGCATTCACCCAACCACAACATCCTCATAACAATATCCACTCATCCACCCAACCACAATATGCTCATAACAATATCCACTCATCCATCCAACCACAACATCCATTCATCCACACAACCACACCTTTCCCTCAACCATAACATCCACTCAACATCATCATCCACCCAACATCATCATCCACTCAACCACTACATTCACTCCACCAACATTCAAATAACTACCTTAACTCACCCACAATATCCATTCAACAACAGCCTTCGCTCAACGTCCACTCAGCCACAACATCCACTCAACCACAACATTCACTCAACCACAACATCCACTCAACCACAACGTCCATTCAACCATTTCTATATATTTTTCCTGAGTTTTCGTCTTCAACCTCTGCTCTCTTCCTTTCCTCTAATTTAGTCCTTACTTTCTACTGCCTTTCTTACCATGCATCTTCTTCCTTATCATCTTCTTTGTTCCTTATCCTCTACTTTCTTCTTTATTCCCTAATTTCCTCATAACCCTCTACTTTTCTGCTTATCCTCTACCTTCCTCACACTTTATTTTTCTTCATGTTTTAGTTTCCTCGTCACTACACATTCTTAATTACTGTTAGTAACAAACACTAACTTCTTAATTAATTTAATAACTAATTTACTTCTTCAGTCAAATAAATTATGCATTGCTATTTATTGGCCCGTTCAAGGGGGTCCCGTAGAGGGTGTTGATGGGCTCTTGGTTCTAGGAATTGGAGCTACCTTACCCTTCCTGGTATTAAACCTCATTTTATTAAATTCTAGAAGCGGACTGTGCGACCTTTACTGGCTTAGTTCTTGTACACGAATATAATAAACACTATTTAGCTTTTGAGTAACCCAGTGAGTGACTTGATTCATGAGAGGAGTGTGCACGAGTGACTTGATTTGCTAGTGTGGACTGTAAGCAGATGAGTAGCTTGACCTGCTAGTGCAGACTGTAAGCGAGTGAGTGACTTGATTCATGAAAGCAAACTGCAGAGTCCCACTGTGTGCAGAAACTGCGAAGTGACTTTGAGCCGAGTCAGGGAGCTGAGAGTATTTGCGGCGGATGGATAATTTTGCCAATCAGAGTGACGAGTTTCAGCTGGCCTCACACCCAAGTTTTAATGAGAGTGAGTTTAACACTGATGCCAGCTGTGTTATGAGTGACATATATACTGTGCAACAGACAGATCGGTTGAGGCTATATATGAAGAGTAAGACATCTGCAACACTTAAGCATCTTTCGTGAATAAAAAACATGTGCAACATATGGGTAACACAACTGCCGAAACGTTTCCCCTGCACAGCAGGCGTCTTCAGTCGAATACAAACAAATACAACAATAGAGACAGTAGATCAGTCTGTTCCCTTCACACTCATGAGTTACACATGTGTCTAACTCACCAACTTGTCGGTATTTTAAAACATTTAAGTAAGAATATATATGTTATGTCGAATATAAAGATGGTACACCTCAACTTATCCTCCTTGCAACTATTTCAATTTTTAGAGCATGTTTCTAGGTTACATTAGGCTAGGTTAGATTAGAATAACTATTAATTACGAAAAAAAGACAATCAGAAACAGGTATCCACTAAGAACAATTGCGATTAACAAAAAGTCATATTTCAGCTGTTTAAGGCGCCGTAAAGTCACCAACATCACTGGTTTTACAACAGTTCCATGACGTTTGTGGTTACGAGGATGGGTTCCGCGCCTAATACAAACTGAACTTAGGTGATACACTTTCACCATCACTCATACAAAATCACTGTCTATGCAGAGACTCTCAGATATGACAGTTTAGATGTCCCTCCAAACTGCCAATGTCCTAAACCCCTCCTTTAAAGTGCAGACATTGTACTTCCCTTTTCCAGGACTCAAGTCCCATCACAAAATATTACCCTGTTCACACTCCAACAACTCGTCAGGTCCCAAAAACCATTCGTCTCCATTCACTCCTATCTAACACGTTCACGCACGCTTGCTGGAAGTAAAAGCCCCTCGCCCACAAAACTTCCTTTATCCCCTCCCTCCAACCTTTTCGGGGACGACCCATACCCCTCCTTCCTTGCCCTATAGATTTATACGCTTTCCAAGTTATTCTGCTTTGTTCCATTCTCTCTAAATGACCAAACCACTTCAACAGCCCCTCTTCAGCCCTCTGACTAAGAATTTTAGTAACGTACACACCTCCTCCTAAGTTCCACACTAAGAATTTTTTGCATAATATTTACACATCACATTGCGCTTAGACACGACATCTCCACTGCCTCCAGCCCCCTCCTAGCTGCAGCATTTACAACCCATGCTTCACACCCATATAAGAGTGTTGGTACCACTATGCTCTCAAACATTCTCTTCTTTGCCTCCATGGATAACGTTCTTTGTCTCCACAAATACCTCAACGCACCATTCACCTTTTTTCCTTCATCGGTTCTATGGTTTATCTCGTCCTTCATAAACCCATCCGCTGATAAGTCAACTCCCAAATATCTAAAAATGTTCACTTCTTCCATACTCCCTCTCTCCAATGTGATATCCAGTTTTTCTTTATCTAAATGGTTTGAGACCCTCATCACCTTATTCTTATCTATATTCACTTTATATATATATATATTATATATATATATATATATATATATATATATATATATATATATATATATATATAATATATGCACACACATTTTGTTGATGGCATATTTTTGGTAAAGGAGGAAGGAATGGCGGCTGTAGTTGATGGAACACAAAATTAGAAAAACCAGTGTGGCTTCCCCAAACCTTGTGGAGGGAGACTTAGATTGTAGTTTCTGTAAAGGAGAAAGTAAAGACGTCAGGAAAAAAATGTGAAATACAATTAAAGAAATATAAAGACGATGAAAAATGTGTTTGGAAAAGGGAGGAGAGAGAGAGAGAGAGAGAGAGAGAGAGAGAGAGAGAGAGAGAGAGAGAGAGAGAGAGAGAGAGAGAGAGAGAGAGAGAGAGAGAGAGAGAGAGAGAGAGAGAGAGAGAGTGGTTATTTATGGATTATCAGTCACTATGTAGGTAAGTAGAAAGCAAAAATAGGGGACTCCCATATGTAAGTTCTAAATGACTAATGTATTTCCTACTTTCTGTGTTTCAGCGAAGCCGCAGCCCAAACAGTTGAGATATGCAAAGGTTTTCAAAAGTAAGAATTCATTACTTTTGTCCTGGCACTCACCATGTGTATATATTTATACTCTCTGCACTCTTTACCATGGGCAATGTAGACCTTCTTGAACTCTTCTGTAACCAGTTGTGTATAACCAACTAATCATCAAAGCACACACACACACACACACACACACACACACACACACACACACACACACACACACACACACACACACTAGCTATACAGACGTCCTGCTCTCTAAATCTACATGTATTTTGCATAACACTCACGATTTTTATTACACTTAGGACATAATAAAGCATAGGATTAGCGTATATAAGTCTCAATAGATGACTTCAAACAAGTGTTGGAATGAATTTTAATTTTTTGTAAAATTTCCCTTAGTATTAGCTATTTGTATATCAAGTGAGAAAAAATATCACTAATAATAATAGTAGTAGTAGTAGTAGTAATAATAATAATAATAATAATAATAATAATAATAATAATAATAATAATAATAATAATATAAAATTATAAAGCAATAATAATAATAATATTAAATATAATACTATAATAATAATAATAATAATAATAATAGAGGGAAATAATCTCAAAGACATAGTTACATGGTCCCTGAGTGTCTTTTGGAGTGGCTAATAGAGCTCATTTACATTATCATGGAAACTAGCACTAGCTCAGTTACATCACCATAGAAACTAGCACTAGCTCAGCTACTTCACCATGGAAGCTAGCACTAGCTCAGTAATATTACTATTTAAGCTAAGACTAGCTCAGTTACATTACCATGGAAGCTAAGACTAGCTCAGTTACATCACCATGGAAGCTAGCATTAGCTCAGTAACATTACCATGGAAGCTAAGATTAGCTCAATTACATCACCATGGAAGCTAAGACTAACTCAGCTCAGTTACTTTACCAGGAAAGCTAACACTAACTCAGCTACATTTTCATGGAAGCTAACACTAGTTGTAGTTACATTACCATGGAAGTTAACACCAGCTCAGTTACTTCATCTCGGAAGCCAGCACTAGCTGCTGCTGCTACCTAACACACGAACGACACTCAGCCTTCAGCTAGCACACACATGTAGGGTAACTTTGATGGTTGGATCACCCTCACTTACCTCTCCTAACGTCTTAATTAAGCCGCACAGTAGAAACTCTTCTCGCACGACAGTAACAGCAGCTCCTGACTGCAACAGCAGCTGCAGCTTGCGGAACCATTGCAAGCTTGCAATAACATTTGATTGCAAGACCAACAGTTTGTTTGGAAAAGCATTGCCTGCTTGCAGCAACAGTGCTTGATTGCAGAAGCATTGCTAGCTTGCACAAAATATAGCTTTATTTGCAACATCGGTGCTTTATTGCAACAACACTGTAAGCTTAGAGCATCAATGCTTGACCGTAACAACAGTAATGCTTGATTGCAATAACTGTATTTGATTGCAAGAAGAGGTGTGTATGATTGCAACCATAGCAGTGTTTGATTGTAGTCACAGCAGTGCTTGATTGTAACCACAGCAGGGCTTAATTGCAGCCACAGAGGTGCTTGATTGCAGCCCCAGCAGTGCTTGATTGCAACCATAGCAGTGCTTGATTGCAACCACACCAATTCTTAATTGCAACCACAGCAGTGTTTGATTGCAACCACAGCAGCGCTTGATTGCAACCACAGAAGTGCTTGATTGCAGAAACAGCAGTTCTTGATTGCAACAACAGCTCTGATTGCAACAGGGGCGCAAGCTTGCAACAGCAGCGCTAGACAGACTCGAGTGAAAACACTTGCTAACACAAGCGTCTGAGTTCAGTTGGAAGCCTCCATCGTGTTCTCTTCACTCTGTGTATATACACTTACACACGCGTTTTGATGTGGCTGGCGGAGGCGTGTGAGGAGTATAGGAACAAGAGGGAAGTGCCCAAGTGGGTGGTGCCTGGCTAGAGCTTTTGAGAGTGAGTGTGTGTGTGTGTGTGTGTGTGTGTGTGTGTGTGTGTGTGTGTGTGTGTGTGTGTGTGTGTGTGTGTGTGTGTGTGTGTGTGTGTGTGTAAGTGTAAGTAAGTGTGTGTGTGTGTAAGAGTGTGAATGTGTAAGAGTGAGTGTGTGAGTAAGTGTGATTGTGTGTGAATATGTGAGTGAGTGGTGTCAGGGGTTAAGTGCGAGGGATTGTAATATTGTGAATGTTAGATAGTGAAGGAGGGAGTGTGAGAGAAGAAGAGTGCGAGGGAGTGCGAGGAGAGATTCAGGAAATGAATGATGGATTGAGTTAGTGTAGAACTACGGAAGTGTGTCCACAGAGAGAGTGTGATGAAACACAGCGTGTGTGTGAGGCAAGGAGAAAGTATGGGACACAGAGTGCAAGGAGAAGAGAGGGAGTTTGTGCGTGAGTGTACGACTAACCTTCCAGCAAGTGTCTTTTACTCGAGGCTACAAATTGTCTAACCACTAGTCGTTGCACTCAACCACTTCCCAGTACCACCACTACCACCACCACCACCACCACCACCACCACCACCACCACCACCACCACCACCACCACCACCAATTACCACACCCTGTAGATACATACCACCCATTATGTACATATCTAAATAATAGAAAATAATCTCACCAGTATATCTTTTTAGCCTTTTTATGTATGTTATTCCTGCTAAATATATATTATATATATATCTAATATCTCTGCGCCTCCAAGTAGTACCTACTGTCTCTGCTGTGCTCTAAAATGCTCTATTTCCCAGGAGAGACCTCTGTAGAGCAAACAGGTAAGTGTGTGCTCGTGTTGATGGAGGCGGTGATGGTGAGGGTGATGATGTTGGCTGTGGTGTTGTGATGATGATGAATGTATTTGTCTTGCTGTGTTTATTATGGTGACGTGGTGATGAGTGTGACGGTATTGTTTTTGTTTTCATGTGTTACTGTAATTGTGTCTTTTCGGTTTTGTTTTGGCGATGATGATAATTTTGTGTTATACTGCGTATGATGAATGCGGTGATGGTCGTGTTGTGTTTATGTTTAGTGATGATCAGGCGAGACAATGACTGATGATTTCGTTTTACTGTTTTGATGTGTTTTGCTGATGGTTTATTCTTTTAATGTGTTTTTGGTGACGTTTTGTTTTGATGTGTTGGTGTGATGTGATGTTTTGTGTTGGTGTGATGTGATGTTTTGTGTTGGTGTGATGTGATGTTTTGTGTTGGAGTGATGTGATGTTTTGTGTTGGTGTGATGTGATGTTTTGTTCGTATGTTCATCATGCCGATGTTTTGGTTGTAATTTTGGTTGATATGATAGGGCGATATTTTTATTATTGTGGTATATTTTGATCTGTTGTTGTTAGTTGTGGTATTGGGGAGTTGTGTTGGTGTGCTGTCTTGTAGTGTTGCTTGTGTTGTGTATGGGGTTCTGGTCGTGTCTAGTGTGTTGAAGTTCATTCTGTAGCGGGTTGTTGGCTGTGTGTTTGTGTTGATACTTGTGGTGTTTGCTGTGTTGTTTGTTGTGCGTTGGTTGTATGTCTGTTGTGTTGGTTGTGTGTTTATTGTGTTGTTAGCTGGGTGTTAGTTGTGTGTTGGTTGTGGTGTTGGTTGTGGTGTTGGTTGTGGTGTTGGTTGTGGTGTTGATTGTGGTGTTGGTTGTGGTGTTGGTTATGGTGTTGGTTATGGTGTTGGTTGTGGAGTTGGTTGTGGTGATGGTTGTGGTGTTGGTTGTGGTGTTGGTTGTGGTGTTGGTTGCGGTGTTGGTTGTGGTGTTGGGTGTGGTGTTGGTAGTGGTGTTGGGTGTGGTGTTGGGTGTGGTGTTGGGTGTGGTGTTGGTTGTGGAGTTGGTTGTGGTGGTGGTTGTGGTGTTGGTTGTGGTGTTGGTTGTGGTGTTGGTTGTGGTGTTGGTTGTGGTGTTGGTTGTGGTGTTGGTTGTGGTGTTGGTTGTGGTGTTGATTGTGGTGTTGGTTGTGGTGTTGGTTGCGGTGTTGGTTGTGGTGTTGGTTGTGGTGTTGGTTGTGGTGTTGGTTGCGGTGTTGGTTGTGGTGTTGGTTGTGGTGTTGGTTGTGGTGTTGGTTGTGGTGTTGGGTGTGGTGCTGGTTGTGTTGGTTGCGATGTTGGTTGTGTTGGGTGTGGTGTTGGTTGTGTTGGTTGTGGTGTTGGTTGCGGTGTTGATTGTGGTGTTGGCTGTGGTGTTGGTTGTGGTGTTGGTTGTGGTGTTGGTTGTGGTGTTGATTGTGGTGTTGGTTGTGGTGTTGGTTGCGGTGTTGGTTGTGGTGTTGGTTGTGGTGTTGGTTGTGGTGTTGGGTGTGGTGTTGGTTGTGTTGGTTGTGGTGTTGGTTGTGGTGTTGGTTGTGGTGATAGTTGTGGTGTTGGTTATGGCGTTGGTTGTGGTGTTGGTTGTGGTGTTGGTTGTGGCGTTGGTTGTGGTGTTGGTTGTGTTGGTTGTTTTGTTGGTTCTGGAGTTGGTTTTGGTGATGGTTGTGGTGTTGGTTGCGGTGTTGGTTGTGGTGTTGGTTGTGGTGTTGGTTGTGGTGTTGGTTGTGCGTTGGTTGTGGTGTTGGTTGTGTTGGTTGTGGTGTTGGTTGTGGTGTTGGCTGTGGTGTTGGTTGTGGTGTTGGTTGTGGCGTTGGTTGTGGTGTTGGTTGTGGTGTTGGTTGTGGTGTTGGTTGTGGTGTTGGTTGTGGTGTTGGTTGTGGCGTTGGTTGTGGTGTTGGTTGTGGTGTTGGTTGTGGGGTTCGTTGTGGTGTTGGTTGTGGTTGTTGATTGTGGTGTTGGTTGTGGTGTTGGTTGCGGTGTTGGTTGTGGTGTTGCTTGTGGTGTTGGTTGTGGTGTTGGGTGTGGTGTTGGGTGTGGTGCTGGTTGTGTTGGTTGCGATGTTGGTTGTGTTGGGTGTGGTGTTTGTTGTGTTGGTTGTGGTGTTGGTTGCGGTGTTGATTGTGGTGTTGGCTGTGGTGTTGGTTGTGGTGTTGGTTGTTGTGTTGGTTGTGGTGTTGATTGTGGTGTTGGTTGTGGTGTTGGTTGCGGTGTTGGTTGTGGT